GAGTTCTTTGTTTTGGCATGGAGTACTATGTAAGTATTTCCGCTTTAGCATATCACATGAGTGTGAATATTGCCATGACAGCATGCTTAACATGTGGCTAGATGCTTATGTGTTATAATTGCTTGAATGCCTGTGCTAAACCGATGCCTTTTGGTGATTTTGGGGCGTTAACGCCTCGAAAAGAAGTTTCTTAAAGAAGTACTTTGCCTAAGGTGAAATCCGTGGGCCTATCCCAAACCGGGAACCCGATTTGAGCCCCGTCTTCTCCCACAAGTCTCTCGTGCCTAGGCGGTCGTGTGTGCCAAGTTTCGTGCTAAACAGATGCCGTTTGGTGATTTTGGGGCGTTAACTCCTCGAATTCAAGTTTCTTAAAGAACTAGTTTGCCTAAAGTGAAATCCGGCTCTAACTCTCAAACCAGGAACCCGATTTGAGCCCCGTCTTCTCCCACAAGTCTCTCGTGCCTACGCCCTCGTGTGTGCCAAGTTTCGTGCAAAATCCGGCTCTAACTAGTCCCGTCTTCTCCCACAAGTCTCTTTAACTTAGAATGTCTAAATTATGCAAAGGTACATTTTAACTTAGAATGCAAAGATACATTTTATACCTGATCTTCTGGTGGTGGTGTATATGGATTCTCGTCTTCTGCAGATTCCCTAAATGCCCGGTGGCCACTCGATGCATCAGGAACCTACGATAGTCAATACATAATGTGTTAATCATATTCGAATTTTATACATAATCTTGTGTGAAAATTGAACTATCAAACAATTTAATTTATATCGAACCTGTCTGTTAGGATCCACACTCGCCCCCTGTGACACTAAGACCATCATCTCAGCTCTCATCTGCTGTAAATGTGTAGAGAACTCTGCTCGTAGCTCCTCCCTCAACTTATCCCTTAGCTCTGCACGAACCTTCTGCGTGATCTGATCAATAGTCGATGACTGGGGTGTTGACTGTGATGGCCCAGCACCATCTTTATACACCGCTCTCCGAGGCATAATTCTCTCGTATGTGCGACAATATCCATGTCCGTCATGACCTATCAACTCATGAAAAATGGCATTCCTAGCCTCCAAAGTCCGACCATCCTCAGGTAGCATAGAGAGTTGACAATTAAACTCATCCTGTATTGAATAAGACTTACAAGTATATGTCAAATTAATATGGTTGACACACAAAAAATAAACTTTAAATACAATCAAAGGTGTTTGGAAACTACCAAGGTCTGGATAACCTCTGGGTCATCTACTCGACGTATCATAAGCCGAACATTCATCTTATCAGTAGACTCCCCCTTACTGGTCATCTGCATTTTTTTAGAAATATGAAAATTAGAATCTAAATAATTTGTAAATATACAATGTTTATTTATATACAAAAATAAAACAATAAAATGTAAACCTCATGCCGTATCTGAGAGAAAGTAGTACGCCCTGTGGTATGAGCTATGCCGTGAGCTCGCCGATTTTTAGCGTTCCTACTTGCGATTTTCTATAACAGGTTCGACAAATGTGAGTATGTAAATTTGATTTGTATGTTTACATATCATAAATATAACTTATTTGTATACCTCAGCATCGGAAGTACGCCAATACTCTACAAGTTGTTCCCACTGGCTTGGCACAATGTGCATAGAACATCATCCTTCAGATTAGGATCAGTGCTTTTAGGCTTGAAATACTTAGCCTTAAGCTTGTTCTTGTGATTCTTCCATATGCTGTTGCAGTTTTTCATGCAGATTGGCTTGTACTCCTCTGGACATATATTCAAATTGTCCTATAAAACACAATTTCAAAGTTTAAATAATAATAACACAATTTTGGAATTCGAATTTGTGGGCAAAAATATACTTTTACCTTCACATCCTTTCAAATAGCATCAATAATATCATCAGGCACATTGTTTCAGTCAAGAAAAGTAAGAGGAACAATGTTACCATTCCGCACAATAATGCCAAGTTGAGTAGTTAACTTAGCCACGTTATCCCCTATTGGGCAGTAATTTCCATCAAATTGTATGTCTAGCTTTTTACCAGTACCCCACTCTTTAATGCCCTTGGCACATCCTCTACCACGCCTAGTCGAGGTTGATGAAGAACTAACATGACCTGTGAGATACAATAACAATAAACAATATGCAATGGTAATAAACAAATGCAAATTTAAATAATGTGAATACAAATCATATCAAATAAACCTGAGGTGGGCTGTGAAGAAGTCGAAGGGTCTGCAAAATACAATGAGAATAAACAAGTTATATATAATGGGCATAAATAAATGTATGTTTAAATAATTTTCATACAAATCAAAGCAAATTTATATACCTGCGGATGGCTCATAAGCTGATGATGATAGCTGCTGTGGTGCCACTGATGGTGGACGCACCGATGGTAAGTGTGGAGGCTGAGTACATGGTAGCTGCTGTGGTGCCACTAAAGGCCCCTCCGATAGTGGCCGATGTGATGCCTCCTCTGATGGTGGTGCTACTGATGTCCTGTTATGTAGCACATCAGACATCATGCGCCGGGGATGATCAGGCTTCCTCTTCCTTCCCATAATAATCTGCAAGCAATATAACATTAATTGACATTAGAAACATAGACAATGGGTTGTCATCAACTATAATATGACATTAATTGAACAAATACAATTACAAAGACAAAGTAAATTAAGAAATTGATGATTAACTACAACCTTGGCCTTAATTGAATTACTAATGTTGATTAAATATCAACCTATTTGAACATCAACTGTTTCCCCTTCTGCGGCTTCCCTCACCCAACCAACTTCTTCATCACGAAGCATTATATTTTCTTCCAATTGTTGGCTCATGTATAGCTCGATTTGTGGATCAGTCGAACTCATATCAAATAAACCTCTTTGAGACATCTTCACCACGACTTGCCAGTCTGGTTGTAACGGGTCTGCAACATACCAAACTTGCTCTGCTTGGGACGCCAAGATGAAAGGTTCATTGGTAATTCGATCATCTCGGTACAACAAATGATTGAAGTTCACCAACGTGAAATTGAAGACATCTTCTTTCTTTCCGTGAATGTTGTCAATCCAATCACACTTAAACAACACATGTTTCTTCTCATTGGAATATCGAATCTCAACAATATCTGTCAATTGTCCATAATAGTACACAGACCCCAAACGAGGATTCTTGTCTTTTCGACTAGCATAACTTATGGTATCTGCCTTCAAAGCTACACCACAATTTTGTGTGGCTCGACGATCATCCATGGCCTTTACTCGATACCGAAACCCATTCAGTATATACCCGTTGAACCTCCTTGCCAAGTTATGAGGACCATTTGCCAATAGAATAAGCTCTTCAGAAAGTATGACATCAGTAGTCCTTCGCAAAGTTTGGACCTATTTAAAACGAAAATGTAAAATTTAAAAAGTAGTTCGGCTTAAGTAACTAGAATCTATAGACTGAAATACATACATGTTCCTTGAACCAAATGTGAAAAGTTTCAAAATGTTCACGCCAAAGTTGATGATCGTCGACACGAGGCATTTCGAGCTTAAGTACTTCAAGGTGTTCGCAGTGTAGATTGAAATTTTAGCAATACAAAAAATTTAGTTGAAAATTCAATAAAACATAATAAAATTATTGAATAAGACATACAAGTATATGCCAAATTAAGATGGTTGACACACAAAAAATAAACTTTAAATACAATCAAAGGTGTTTGAAAACTACCAAGGTCTGAATAACCTCTGGGTCATCTACTCTACGTGTCATAAGCCAAACGTTCATCTTATCAGTAGACTCCCCCTTACTGGTCATCTAAATTTTTATTTAGAAATATGAAAATTAGAATCCAAATAATTTGCAAATATACAATGTTTATTTATATACAAAAATAAAACAATAAAATGTAAACCTCATGCGTAGGGGTTTCCTAATATTCATTTCTTGTAAATCACGCCGAGCATTAACGTCATCCTTCGATTTTCCTGCAACCCCTAATATTGTCCATAACACATTGTCACAAACATTCTTCTCTATATGTATCACATCGAGGTTGTGTCTTATTAGATTGTGCTCCTAATATGGCAATTCATAAAAGATACTTTTTTTCTTCCAACTGTGGGTGCGATGTCCAACTTTTTCCTTCTCTACCTGTCTCCTATGCCTCTCCTTAAGGTCATCCCTCTTGTATTGGGTTAAAATACCCTCAGATTCTAATTGTAGCAATATCTCAGTTCCAGACAACAATTTGGGTTTGAGTCGGACTTCCCGAGTACCATCAAATGATACTTTATCCTTCTGGAATTTATGGCCAGTAGGTAAAAATCTGCGATGACCCAAGTATGATTGTTTCCTACTATGCTTCAACCAACACGATGTAGTTTCCTTATTGTAACAAGGACATGCATATTCTCCTTTAGTGCTCCATCCTGACAAGTTTGCGTATGCAGGAAAATCACTAATTGTCCACAGTAAAGCTGCATGCATTTGAAACATTTGATTTGTTGATGCATCAAATGTTGACACACCCTCATTCCATAGTTCTTTCAACTCCTCAATCAACGGTTGCATGTACACATCAATCTTGTCACCAGGTCCTTTTGGGCCGTCAATAAGCACGGCTAAAATTAGAAATGGTTGCTTCATGCACATCCATGGCGGCAAGTTGTATGGAACGAGCACAACAGGCCAAGTGCTATGAACTATGTTCATCGTTCTGAATGGGTTAAAACCATCAGATGCTAAGCCAAGTCTTACACTTCGGCAATCGTTACTAAAGTCAATATTCCGACGGTCAAAATCTTTCCATGCAAGGGAGTCAGCAGGATGCCTGAAGACACCATCATCAGTTCGTTCCTCTGCATGCCATCTCATTAACTTGGCCGTCTTAGATGACATAAACAACCTCTGCAACCTTGGCTTTAAAAGAAAATATCTCATCTGTTTTGCAGCTATTCGTTTTCCACCTTTGTTAGGACCATTTGAACCACTATCACCATTTGATTTCCATCTACAACTGTTGCATATGACACATTTATCAAGATTGGTGTCCTCGTTTCGAAACAACATGCAACTGTTGGGACATGCATCCCACGTCTCATACGTAAAGCCCAAATCTGTTGTGACCTTTTGAGCTTTATAATATGAGTCCGGGAGTTTCACACCCAACGGGAACGCCTCATTCAATAACTCAAGCAACATGTCAACAGACTTGTCTGTCCACTGATTAAGCATCTTCAAATGTAAAAGTCAAACAATGAATGACAAAGATGTGAACTTCTGACAACCCGACTACAATTCACTTTGTGCATCTTGAAGAAGTTTGAAATACTTTGCAGTCTCTGCATTTGGACCGAGCTGGGTTTAGATGCATGGGGATCAGGCCCATGTGGTTCATTACCCTCAACACTTGTACCGGCATGTGGATTTCCCATAGCCCCTTGTATCATTCCAATCATATCATGCCCAATGTCTAAATTAGCTAATGTTTCATTCTCTCGATTACCATGCAGAGATACGTAAGATTCCCCATGATTAATTCAATGTTTGTATTTTTTAAAAAAACCATTCAAAATCAGATGCTCCCGTACACCCTCTCGTACAAAATAGTATCGATTCTCGCACTTCCTACACGGACAATTGATCATCGAACCTTCAACTCTATTGGTGTAGGCAAACACAAGGAATTCATCAATCCCATTAATGTATTCGCCCGACATCCTATTTGGCAAATCAATCTAACTCTTATCCATCATCTGTACACATCCACAAAAATATCTCATCAAAGTAACTCTAAATATAATACCTTTAACTCAAACCTATTCAAAAAAATACTCAAAACTCATCTATTTAAGTTTGTCTAAAAAATACTCAAAACTCATCTATGCTCTTTAACTCAAACCTATTCAAAATTAAATTCTACTCTTTTTTTTTTATTACCCAAAATCAAGAGATCCTTTTAGCAAACTCAAACCTATACCACACCTTTTAAAAAAAAACTCAGGTAAAATTTTGAATTAGTTACTAAAGTGCTTCATAAGAAATGAAATTTTTAGTCAAAGCATAAAATTTTTTAGGTTACTATTTCAGTGCTTCATATCAAATGAATTTTTCGCTCAAAATTTTTGTCTGATCAAAATTTTCATGATTGGTGATGGTTTGATAGAATTTGGGGGGAAGGGGGAATGAGATTGACATGACGAGGTTGAATTGCACTTGCTTTTACTAACCGAGAATAATGAATTTTTCAAGACATTTGAACTCAATTGTAAGTCCCCGAGACACATGTTTGTCAGGATATGTATGTAATATATTTGTAATAAGGAAGATTAAACAAAGTTAGTTTGAAAAACAAAGTTAATGAATTTTCAAATTTTTTAGAAAAAAAACAAAAATGAAAACCAAAATACAATCTTTTTTTTTTTTTTAAATTCAAATGAAGTAAAATTTTGTACAATCATTTTGTAACAATAATATATTTATAAATAAATTAAAAAAAAACATTTTCTTCTCCCATATATTCTCTCTCTTTCTCTCTGGCATGCAAGTGAAAACCTATCTAATAAAAGAGAGGGTAAGGTAAAAATTCCTTTTCCATGGCATGAGATGCTCTGCATGGATGGCTTTTAAAGCTGTGATTGACAAAGACATATCCCCAATAATCCTCAGACTCAAAACCCCCCTATCATATCTTCCACAAAGTACTTTCTTTCTTTTTTATGCCTTGTGTCATCAGTCAATATTATTACTCATTGATCTTTCACTCACTTCACTCCTCTTTGTGTCCCCACATCATATCCAATTAACCCCAACCCAATCACTCTCCACCCACCCACCCCACCTCAGACGCCCTTTGTGATATGTATATATATATATGGTGGGAAAGTTCTCTATAATGCTTTTTTTTTGGTTGGTATAGAATGTTGTTAGGAAATTGTTTTCTAAAATTACTTTCGCACAAAAATATAAATGATATGCAAATTATGTGTTTTTTAATGTTTCATTGTTCTATTTTCGAAAGCAGGAAAAATGGAAATGCAGAAAATGAAAATGATACTTTGTAGACCTTTATGTTTTGTAGACATTAGTTTTCTCCATCTAACCCTTGCCAATTAGATTATTGCAAACAATTTTTTGTGCTTCAAGTGTTATTTAAACTTGCCAATGTTATCTTCCAGCAACTTCTATGCTTTTTTTCTTACTCAATGCAGGAGCTTTCAGAACTAAAAAAATCACTCAATGTTGAAGTTGACCAACTTCGATCAGTGAACAACACTCAATATTTTTCCTAGTTTGACCTTTTAATATATATATATATATATATGATATTATATAGAATGGTATGTGTAAATTTGCTTGATTTGCATGAAAACTAGGAATTTCAAGAACTGAGGACCACTCTCCAGCAGCAGCAAGAGGATGTTACTGCTAGCTTAAGAAACTTAGGGGTATGCTATCTTGGGAATTTGTAACTTGTGCATGTCCTTTGGCTATTCATTAAGTCATTTCCTAACAACATTCTATATAAATTATTTTTTTCTTTTTCATTTCTGAATTTTTATCCAAATTTATAATCTAAACACAACCTAAAAAATTAAAATGAAAAAATAATGAAACTTTTTGGGGATACATACATATATAGGCAAATAATTTATATTCATGTATATTTTTTTTTTTTTTTTTTTTGAACAGCTAATACATACATACATATATATATATATATATATATACAGAGAGAGAGAGAGAGAGAGAGAGAGAGCATACCTGAGTAGCTGTCGTCATCGAAGCTATTCGCTCGACATCCTATTTGGCAAATCAAACCGCTAGCCCTTCGTCGTTCGTCGTTCGTCGTGTCGTCGTCGCCGCACCACCGCACCACCGCTAGCCCTTCGCCGTTCGTCGCCCGTCGCTCGTTTGGGATTTTGGGGGAAAATTGAGCGGCAAGATGAAAGGGATTTCGATCGGACAATTTTAGGGATTTTAGGGATTTCGTGCTTCAAAACAATTTTAGGAATTTCGATCGAACTGAGCAGCAAGATGAAAGGGAAGAGGGGGGGAAAATTGTTTTTTACTTTTTGCGACAGGAAGGTTTACACCGTCGCAAATGATACAAAATGATTAATAAACGATGCCGTTTTAATAATCCTTTTTTTGCGACGGACATTTGCCGTCGCAAATGGTCGAGTATTTGCGACAGCAAACTTTTGCCGTCTCAAACTTTTTTTTTTCGCAACGGTTCAACACGCCGTCGCTAATAGTTCCTTATTTTAATATCCGCCCGTGCAGTTTTATTACCGACGGTTAAACGCCGTCACTAAAACTTTTTTTTGCGACGGTTTATTTTGCCGTCGCAAAAGACCATTTTTTGCAAACGGAGATCGCGCCGTCGCGAATACTTCCGTGTTTTTTGCCCTCTTTTCTTGTAGTGATGGTAGCATTCCGAGGAAGAGTTACTGGAGTGTGGTTAGAGAGACTGCAAAAACTGAAAATGAAGCAAGGATGAAGTTAGGGGAACCAGCTGGCCTAGTGATAACAAACCCTAATAAGATGACTAATGTTGGGAACCAAGTTGGGTATAGGTTGCTTCCTGGTTCACCTGCCCCCCCTCTCCTACTTGAAGATGATTATCCACAGCATAGGGCAGCTTTCACAAGGTACCAAGTATGGATCACACCCTACAACAGGTCAGAGGAGTGGGCAGGAGGGTTGTATGTGGATCATGACCATGGGAATGACAACTTATATGAATGGACTAACAGGTATCATGCAAGGGACTACTGTTATGTACCCGGGAAAAAAAAAATTTGAGTTGAATTTGAATGTATGATGCAAATTTAAACTTGTGTCTGCATCATACATTCAAATTTTGAACATCATAAACTTTACTGTTAATTTAACTTGTTTGGAAAACCCAATTCTCACCTAAATTCATAAGCCACATTTATATTTTTCCCTTCTTATATTCCTATTTTGTACATTATATTATACTGCAATAGTAATGATGGGTAAATTGGTTATTTTGTATAAAAAAAAGTATAAAAAAAAAAAATGCTAGCAAGATTACCAAACATGCTTATGCTAAATAGTTATTAAATAGTCAAAAAATTAAAAATGTGCTTAACAAGTTAATTTTTCAGTATTAACTTGTTTTATGGGTCAAATTGTAGCCAATAAAGTTACATTTTGGCTAACTTCTAAATAACGCCTAAATTTTCCAAACTCAAGGTTTGATGTGTTTTGTTGTGTACAGACTGATAGGGAAATGATTTATACACAATTTTTTCAAACAAAAATAAAATAAAATAAAATATGAAAATTTTCTTTCACTGTCATTTTTGAAATTATGAATCATAATGGTGAATGTTTTGATTTGAAATGAAAAAATAGTAAATGTCATTCCGTATAAAAATTCTATATGAAAATTATGTTTGTATAATATTACTTAGATTCATACTGTCGAAAGTCTAACCATGTAAATGTTGGTTTGTGTTATTACTCTACAGGGATAGAGATATTGAGAACAAGGATATAGTGTTATGGCACACATTAGGGTTTCACCACATACCTGCCCAAGAAGATTTTCCAGTGATGCCAACACTCAGTGATGGGTTCGAGCTCCGACCTTTCAACTTCTTTGACAACAATGCAATACTCAAAACAAGGCCTTCTAAGCCTCTGATGTTCCATGGTTGCAACTCAACCAGTACCACTCCACAGCTGATCCATAATTGAAATTAACCATTATTATGTGTAAATAAGGGTTAATATTATTGCTTGGTGCAATGCTGATAACCCAGATAAATGAATCTGTGAACAAATGTGTACCCTAGCTGTTCCCTGACAATAAAGCTGTTGATTATTGAGCATTCATTTGGCATAAGATCTATGAGCTACTATGTTAATTATCAAGCAATATCATCACACTATGAATTTTCGAAAATTTTAATAGCAAATTTGTTTCAACCATATCTCTATATACATTTATGAAATCAACATCAATATTATACCCTCCGTCCCAAAATAATAGTCCCTTTTGGGGAATCTAACTTTTTTTGATAGTACAATTATTGCATTTGAAAAAAGTTGATTTTCAAAATTACCCTTTTGATAGTACATTTTTTGGAAATATCAATGTCATAATTGTACTTTTTATATTGTTTATTAATTTAAAAGAAGGGCAAAATAGGAAATTTATATTATTTTTGTACTTGATTTTTGAAGAGGGACTAATATTTTGGGACAATGAAAAATGGAATAAGGGACTAATATTTTGGGACGGAGGTATATTATTATTTCAGTTACGTGGTTTTAGTTCTGAAAAGAAAACGCATGGATATGTCTGTTTTTTACTTTTAAAGAATATTTGACTATGACCTTATAAAGAATTATGTTTTGTAAGTACTACCACGAGAGTCCCACGCCTGGGGGACTTAAATAACCATTGGCCTCTGTTTGACCACTTTGTGGTCCTCTGTTTGTCATGGATCCATTGACCTCTGTTCTGTGCCGACCAAAGTGTTGTGCGGAGCTAAGTGCTACAATGTTGTGGGAGCCACCTCTAGAATCTGTACGAGCCACCTCTTGAATCCGTACCTCTGTTCTGTGCAGACCAAAGTGCTGTGCAGAGCTAAGTGCTACACTGTTGTGGGAGCCACCTCTAGAATCCGTACGAGCCACCTCTTGAATCCGTACCTTTGTTTTATGCAGACCAAAGTGCTGTGCAAAGCTAAGTGCTACACTATTGTGGGAGCCACCTCTAGAATCCGTACGAGCCACCTCTTGAATCCGTACCTTTGTTTTATGCAGACCAAAGTGCTGTGCAAAGCTAAGTGCTACACTATTGTGGGAGCCACCTCTAGAATCCGTACGAGCCACCTCTTGAATCCGTACCTTTGTTTTATGCAGACCAAAGTGCTGTGCAAAGCTAAGTGCTACACTATTGTGGGAGCCACCTCTAGAATCCGTACGAGCCACCTCTTGAATCCGTACCTTTGTTTTATGCAGACCAAAGTGCTGTGCAAAGCTAAGTGCTACACTATTGTGGGAGCCACCTCTAGAATCCGTACGAGCCACCTCTTGAATCCGTACCTTTGTTTTATGCAGACCAAAGTGCTGTGCAAAGCTAAGTGCTACACTATTGTGGGAGCCACCTCTAGAATCCGTACGAGCCACCTCTTGAATCCGTACCTTTGTTTTATGCAGACCAAAGTGCTGTGCAAAGCTAAGTGCTACACTATTGTGGGAGCCACCTCTAGAATCCGTACGAGCCACCTCTTGAATCCGTACCTTTGTTTTATGCAGACCAAAGTGCTGTGCAAAGCTAAGTGCTACACTATTGTGGGAGCCACCTCTAGAATCCGTACGAGCCACCTCTTGAATCCGTACCTTTGTTTTATGCAGACCAAAGTGCTGTGCAAAGCTAAGTGCTACACTATTGTGGGAGCCACCTCTAGAATCCGTACGAGCCACCTCTTGAATCCGTACCTTTGTTTTATGCAGACCAAAGTGCTGTGCAAAGCTAAGTGCTACACTATTGTGGGAGCCACCTCTAGAATCCGTACGAGCCACCTCTTGAATCCGTACCTTTGTTTTATGCAGACCAAAGTGCTGTGCAAAGCTAAGTGCTACACTATTGTGGGAGCCACCTCTAGAATCCGTACGAGCCACCTCTTGAATCCGTACCTTTGTTTTATGCAGACCAAAGTGCTGTGCAAAGCTAAGTGCTACACTATTGTGGGAGCCACCTCTAGAATCCGTACGAGCCACCTCTTGAATCCGTACCTTTGTTTTATGCAGACCAAAGTGCTGTGCAAAGCTAAGTGCTACACTATTGTGGGAGCCACCTCTAGAATCCGTACGAGCCACCTCTTGAATCCGTACCTTTGTTTTATGCAGACCAAAGTGCTGTGCAAAGCTAAGTGCTACACTATTGTGGGAGCCACCTCTAGAATCCGTACGAGCCACCTCTTGAATCCGTACCTTTGTTTTATGCAGACCAAAGTGCTGTGCAAAGCTAAGTGCTACACTATTGTGGGAGCCACCTCTAGAATCCGTACGAGCCACCTCTTGAATCCGTACCTTTGTTTTATGCAGACCAAAGTGCTGTGCAAAGCTAAGTGCTACACTATTGTGGGAGCCACCTCTAGAATCCGTACGAGCCACCTCTTGAATCCGTACCTTTGTTTTATGCAGACCAAAGTGCTGTGCAAAGCTAAGTGCTACACTATTGTGGGAGCCACCTCTAGAATCCGTACGAGCCACCTCTTGAATCCGTACCTTTGTTTTATGCAGACCAAAGTGCTGTGCAAAGCTAAGTGCTACACTATTGTGGGAGCCACCTCTAGAATCCGTACGAGCCACCTCTTGAATCCGTACCTTTGTTTTATGCAGACCAAAGTGCTGTGCAAAGCTAAGTGCTACACTATTGTGGGAGCCACCTCTAGAATCCGTACGAGCCACCTCTTGAATCCGTACCTTTGTTTTATGCAGACCAAAGTGCTGTGCAAAGCTAAGTGCTACACTATTGTGGGAGCCACCTCTAGAATCCGTACGAGCCACCTCTTGAATCCGTACCTTTGTTTTATGCAGACCAAAGTGCTGTGCAAAGCTAAGTGCTACACTATTGTGGGAGCCACCTCTAGAATCCGTACGAGCCACCTCTTGAATCCGTACCTTTGTTTTATGCAGACCAAAGTGCTGTGCAAAGCTAAGTGCTACACTATTGTGGGAGCCACCTCTAGAATCCGTACGAGCCACCTCTTGAATCCGTACCTTTGTTTTATGCAGACCAAAGTGCTGTGCAAAGCTAAGTGCTACACTATTGTGGGAGCCACCTCTAGAATCCGTACGAGCCACCTCTTGAATCCGTACCTTTGTTTTATGCAGACCAAAGTGCTGTGCAAAGCTAAGTGCTACACTATTGTGGGAGCCACCTCTAGAATCCGTACGAGCCACCTCTTGAATCCGTACCTTTGTTTTATGCAGACCAAAGTGCTGTGCAAAGCTAAGTGCTACACTATTGTGGGAGCCACCTCTAGAATCCGTACGAGCCACCTCTTGAATCCGTACCTTTGTTTTATGCAGACCAAAGTGCTGTGCAAAGCTAAGTGCTACACTATTGTGGGAGCCACCTCTAGAATCCGTACGAGCCACCTCTTGAATCCGTACCTTTGTTTTATGCAGACCAAAGTGCTGTGCAAAGCTAAGTGCTACACTATTGTGGGAGCCACCTCTAGAATCCGTACGAGCCACCTCTTGAATCCGTACCTTTGTTTTATGCAGACCAAAGTGCTGTGCAAAGCTAAGTGCTACACTATTGTGGGAGCCACCTCTAGAATCCGTACGAGCCACCTCTTGAATCCGTACCTTTGTTTTATGCAGACCAAAGTGCTGTGCAAAGCTAAGTGCTACACTATTGTGGGAGCCACCTCTAGAATCCGTACGAGCCACCTCTTGAATCCGTACCTTTGTTTTATGCAGACCAAAGTGCTGTGCAAAGCTAAGTGCTACACTATTGTGGGAGCCACCTCTAGAATCCGTACGAGCCACCTCTTGAATCCGTACCTTTGTTTTATGCAGACCAAAGTGCTGTGCAAAGCTAAGTGCTACACTATTGTGGGAGCCACCTCTAGAATCCGTACGAGCCACCTCTTGAATCCGTACCTTTGTTTTATGCAGACCAAAGTGCTGTGCAAAGCTAAGTGCTACACTATTGTGGGAGCCACCTCTAGAATCCGTACGAGCCACCTCTTGAATCCGTACCTTTGTTTTATGCAGACCAAAGTGCTGTGCAAAGCTAAGTGCTACACTATTGTGGGAGCCACCTCTAGAATCCGTACGAGCCACCTCTTGAATCCGTACCTTTGTTTTATGCAGACCAAAGTGCTGTGCAAAGCTAAGTGCTACACTATTGTGGGAGCCACCTCTAGAATCCGTACGAGCCACCTCTTGAATCCGTACCTTTGTTTTATGCAGACCAAAGTGCTGTGCAAAGCTAAGTGCTACACTATTGTGGGAGCCACCTCTAGAATCCGTACGAGCCACCTCTTGAATCCGTACCTTTGTTTTATGCAGACCAAAGTGCTGTGCAAAGCTAAGTGCTACACTATTGTGGGAGCCACCTCTAGAATCCGTACGAGCCACCTCTTGAATCCGTACCTTTGTTTTATGCAGACCAAAGTGCTGTGCAAAGCTAAGTGCTACACTATTGTGGGAGCCACCTCTAGAATCCGTACGAGCCACCTCTTGAATCCGTACCTTTGTTTTATGCAGACCAAAGTGCTGTGCAAAGCTAAGTGCTACACTATTGTGGGAGCCACCTCTAGAATCCGTACGAGCCACCTCTTGAATCCGTACCTTTGTTTTATGCAGACCAAAGTGCTGTGCAAAGCTAAGTGCTACACTATTGTGGGAGCCACCTCTAGAATCCGTACGAGCCACCTCTTGAATCCGTACCTTTGTTTTATGCAGACCAAAGTGCTGTGCAAAGCTAAGTGCTACACTATTGTGGGAGCCACCTCTAGAATCCGTACGAGCCACCTCTTGAATCCGTACCTTTGTTTTATGCAGACCAAAGTGCTGTGCAAAGCTAAGTGCTACACTATTGTGGGAGCCACCTCTAGAATCCGTACGAGCCACCTCTTGAATCCGTACCTTTGTTTTATGCAGACCAAAGTGCTGTGCAAAGCTAAGTGCTACACTATTGTGGGAGCCACCTCTAGAATCCGTACGAG